TAAATTTGAAATTTACAAACTTAAATCAGATGATAATTACAGATACCCATGATATATAAACATAATCCCTGAGCCAGAGATCTCATCCCTACACCATCGTTGCAACCCAAAATTTGCCATCTTCAATTCTTCTTATCATTAAAATAAAAGCCAAGCTTTTTTTCATCTTATGTGACTACTCCATCCATTAAATTGATTGAATGTCTAGATGACCAAACAAATTAAAAAGGCAATTGGATCTCAGTCCTCTGATTAGTTAAAAAGCAAAACAAGAAAAAAGACAAGGACCACCACAAAATTGTAGTATTTTATTTTGCTAGAAAAATTCAAGTATAAATCCTTTAGATCTGATGTTGAGTCCCGATACCAAGACTTTATTTAAACCAACTTATATTTGTCAAAGCCACAAGGTTAGACGGTCGATGCTTGCTGGTTGAGACGATCAATTAACCCACTTCGGGTGTTCATTCCTATTAGCGCGATTATTTAGCCATTGTGGGCTTTGACAGCTAGAGACGAGCACTAAATTGCATCATCTTTATCTTTCGTGTTAAGGAAGCATGCACATCCTGCCATGTGTCATTATATCCGCTCGATGATCTGTTTGTGGACAACAGAGGTAATCTGACGTGTGATCCTTGATGCGTTTATGGGTTTCAACTTTCAAATATGTTTTCACTGGGAATCGTTTTCATTATTGGCAATTTGAGATTGGGCCAAGGGGTAGGTCTTGAAAGAGACATGTGCTAACTACCCGCATCCAAATCCAGATAATGTTCAATCAGCATTGAGAAAGGCCAATGCTTTATGTCATTATGATACCAATCAAATTGAAGATTGGCACTCACAATCACAGTCACAATTCCAAGCTGCTACAAAAAGATCATGGTGAGGTAAAAATCAAGCAGGACAATCTAATTATTTAAACCAATCAAGCAAAAAGGGGTTGTAAATCGTGCTAGTGATCCATGTCGGATGACAATCCAAGCCGTTCAACCACGGCCTACCATGACTCACCACCTGAGTTTTGATGGCTGCCCAATCGTTTTGGGCCTAATTTATTAAGTATTCATTAATCAAATCACTTTTTAGAACAAAAGAAAAAAAGTTAAAATATAAAATCCTAAGGCAATGCAAAATCTTAAAGGAAAAAAGTCTTTGAAATTGAGTTTAATTAAGATCTTGATTCTTAATTTATTTAATATACAAAAAATTAATTATTATATTATAATAATTCTTTATAAAACGTTTAACTAAATTCTAATATTTTT